GTTACTTTCTATGATTTGTCTGGTCTAAATATTTAACTCAGAATATGTTTTCTTCCCTTACTCTGTCTGGAGAAACTGGTCAAGACGAGGCCAGGGTGACCTTGGATTGCAGCCAGCAGAAAGCCTTCACTCTGGGAAAAACTGCCTTGAGAGTGGAGGAAAAATTCCCCTTTGCAATCTGTTTTTCAGAAACCATCAAGAAAAGGGGCGTTCAGCTTGCTCAGCAACGCTCTCTCATTGACAGGCGGTGTTCAGCCTGACAGAGGTGGCCTCTGGGGTACAGGGAATAGGAGTGGGGGTGCACACTGGGCTCTTAACTTTGTTGCGGTTCTCAGAAAGGCTTTTGCTAACCCAGCCAGCCCAGTGGTCCAGCCCAGTTGAGCAAACACTTCATTAACTTCTAGGATGGTTCAGGCCCTGAGATAAGTAAAACGGGGTGCTTGATCTTGAAGAGCTGTTTTCCTGAGCCCCTGCTGCCACCATCTTGGGGCATGTCCCCAGATGCCCGAGGCCTGTTCTCTCTTTCCTCTTCCAGCCCACACAGCTGAGGGGTAGTGGGAAAAACATGGCGCCACCACTGACAGGCTGTGTGGCCTTGGTCAAGTTACCTAACCACTTTGGGCCTCAGTTTCCTTATCTGCAAAACAGAGATAATAATCTGTAACTCCTAGGAATTCCCTGAGGGTTAAGTGAGACCATGGTCTTTGCACAGTGTTTGTTGAGTCTGAGGCATTAGGTTAGGAAACAGCTTATGAAAGTTCTTCATTCTAGGTGTCAGTCTGATGGTTGGTCCCATTTGCCTGTCCTAATTGGCACCCCCCTCCATCAGGACATACCCATATCTCTTCTTGCTTACTGGATCTCAAGGTCTAGCACTTAGTAGGTGATGGATACTTGCTTGGTGAATGAATGAATGAATGGATGAATGGATTTCTCCATCCTGCTTCCTCCTAGCCCAAGCCTAGAATACAAGAGACTCTTGCTGCAAAGCCAGGTAGGACCAGCGAGCCCATGCTGGTCTCCATGGGCTCTGCATTGAGCTAGGCTCTGTACTGGGTCACATCTGAGTCCTGGATTAGCCCCTGGCCAGGTTTTCTATGTAACCTTGGCTATGGCACTCAACCTCTCTGGGCCTCTATGTCCCCTCTGTGAGAGGCACTGTGCTTTCAGAGACCCCAGGTTCTAGGGTCGGGTGGCTCTGCAAAGTTCCCTGTTTCTAGCCTCGTGAGTGCTCCTCTTTTCCCCACCTTGTACTATAAGTGCAAACTTCTCTCTTGCCTGCCCAGATGGAGAGGAACTCAGAGCCTGCTTTCTGAGCCATAATTTTTGGTTTGATGTTTTTAGTGCATTCTGCTGCATGAATTAAGTATGGTCACAAATGATTATATAGTGCTCCTTTTAAACAATTCAAAATACTAAGATCAAATCCACCAATCAGCCAGTAACAAAGGCAGCAATGGGCTCTCAGGGGAGACATGTCCTTGTAGACAGCACAGAAGTAGTGAGGTATTCCTCCAGCCTGGCTCTGGTAAAGACTCAACCCACAAGGTCAAAGCAGAAAGGATGGCATCAGGAATGAGCAAAAGTCACCGTTCAGAGACTGAGCAATAACAACTCTTGCCAGTAGATGCCTGTGGATTAAAAAAGACTTAAGAATATTGTGTCTCTCAATCCTCACAATGACCTTGAGAGATTAGGTATTACTTGCCCAAAAGACTGACTGTAGTCTAACCAATGGTATACACATAGCTGATATTTGTTGGGCCCTTATTATGTGCCAGGCACTGTTATAAGCACTTTGCTAGTACTGATGCATCGCATCCTCATAACAGCCTGGGGGATTTGTACCTATATTATCTCCGTTGTATACCTGGTGAGACTGAAGCCCAGAGAGGCTAAGTGACTCTGGTCACATGGGTAGAGAGTGGCAGAGCTGGGATTGGAACCCTATGCTTTTTGAAATCACCTTATGTTGCCTTGCCTAATGAAAGAATGTACCTCATCAGGGTGGGGGTCACAGAAAGCAGAGGCAATTATTGGGTGAGTGGATGGAGGCTGCTGCAGACATTGGAGAGATGGGAACTTGTGTTCTTCAGACCCCAATATTGGAAATATCGCCTAGATTCATTGAACAGTTTAGTCCTCACAACAGCCTTGCCAATTAAGTATTATTATCCCCATTTTACAGATGAGCAACTTGCCACACTGCTAAGAAATGATAAAGGCAGGATTCAAACCCCAGTCTGTCTGACTTCAGGGCTACTGACTAGGAATCAGGAGACACTCTAATTTTGGCTCTGCTGTCCTCTCTAGGAGACTTAGCATTTTCATCTATAGCATCTAGGTTTAGAATAGATAACCTCAAGGTATAGTATAGTATAAGTGGTGAGTGCTCCATAAGGCAAACCAGGTGACTGCTCCCTGTCCCCCATCCTGGGCATATGGCAGACATCACCAATCAATCCACAGGCATGTCTTTAAAATGTATTTAAACACTGCCACTTGATTAGAATTGGAACTGAGAGGAAAGGTTCCATTTTGGGAGGCTTCATATGTAGAAACCATCAAACCACACATTGCTAAATATTCACATAGAACAGACAAAACGTATTATGTATTATATAAAATACAGAATGTACTCAACATGACTTCTCTGCAAGAACAGTAACCACAACCTGCTCTCTTGGGAAGGAGCGTCCCCAACTGGCATTTGGACCATACAGGAAATCACCCTTCAAATTTGGGGATGCCCTGCTCCTGTGCTGGAATCACACAGTTGTTTGGTCTGCTGGCTGGAAACTGAGTAGCAGTAGTAGCTGATGTAGCACTTTAACGAGCAACAGAAATCAATTTAAAAAGTGAACTACCCATGGGTTGTGACAAATGAAATAATAAGCTCATATCCATTGCAAAAATGTCTATGAGTGGGAGAGAATGTGACAAGAGCAGAGAATGTGAATTGGTTATGCAAAAAAGCAACAGGATTTTTTTCCCCAAAAGACTATAACTTGCCTCATTCTAACATGACTTTCAACTTGGGTCTTGCTGGCTCTAGATATGCCTCCAAAACTCTACAAGAATCCTTTCAGCTTTGATGTCTTGGGGACAGAGACAGTCTAGGCAGTTTTCTTTTCATCTGTCCATCCATCTATTCACACATCTGTCTGTTCTTTCATCCATTCAGCCATCATCCATCCTCCACCTTCCATCCATTATATGTCCATCCATCCATCCGTCTATCCGTCATCCATCTATCCTTCCATCCATCCATCCATCCATC